GGGGTGGGCGGGAGTGCATGCTCTTTGTGGGGGGGGTCAGTCACAGCCGCTGATCCCCCACTTCGTGCCTGTTCCAGCCGCACGTTCTGTCACATGACCTGATGGGCGCGGTGCGGTAAGTGCAGTATCATGGGAGAGAGGAAGTTGCCGTCTGCACACCGGGGGCAGACAGGGTGGCCCCCCCTCTGAGGCTGCATGTGTCTGAACCCTTAGGAGCCACTGTGGGCGCTTAATGATAAACGGAGGGTGTTTGGAAATATCTGCCAGCAGGCAGTGTCAGAGCGGTTATTACCGGAAGCTGTGAGTCTGTTGCTGTTTCTACAACCACATAGTTCTCATGTCTCTTGCCAACCCCCCCCCCGCCCCGTCTCCAAGGTGACAGTAATCAAGTCAACAGAGAAACCAGTCTGGTTGCCCCCTGCTTGTTTTTGCAAGGTCACATGACCTTGGTGCCAAACCGAGAGCTGTCTCTGGCTGGTCCCTGGCGTAATCTCACCCGGCCTGCAGTGTCACTCCACTCTGCAAAATGGTCACTTTTTTAGATTGGCTTGTACTGGTTATTGGCACTTTGCAAGTCTTTTTCTCCAGATCAAGGCTAATTTATAACACACATATTAATTATTTTATTGGTTTAACGCTAATTGTCGATACAAAGTGCTCCTCAGTGTTAATGCCGGGCATTTTGCTGTAGTATAGTCATCTGATTAAACAACCGTGACAGCGTGCTTTAGCGGATCGATGTTGCCATCTTGTGGTCATATGCAGTACTGGAAAGCCGCATTTATTACGGTGGGAGTTAACTGATTAGTTAAGTATCGTTTTCAAAATCATTTTAAATGAAGGGTTTCAAATTCTGCACTTGAAAAAAAGTACAAATCGGCATTCTGCAATTTGTGCCTGCGATTTATGGCATTTGCTTCTGCACCACTGAAAACAGACAAACGTGGTTTGTTACAGAGGCGCTTCTGTCAGGAACCGTGAATTGGGGCTTTATTTTTAACATCCGCAAGGCGCAACCAGCAGTAACACCTTTATCAAAATAAAGAGGGCGTCACCTATGGTGGTGGGGGGGGGTTGCAATTTTTATGTGTGAAATGGTAATTTCTAGAGCATCCTTTGAGGACCATACAAAATTATTTAACACACAAATCACAGTCATCGTGCGTGATATTTTTTTGTGACATATTTGTGATATTTCAATTCTCAAAAGCACAAATCGACTTCTAATTAAGTTTACATTCGGAGATGTGGGCGGACCCTGGCTCATTTTGTGTTGTATTAAACCTCCCACTAGATGGCAGTGTTGTAGCCTTTTTACCGCCATTTGACTGAAGGCGAAACGGCCGATAGACGGGGATCCGCAACACGCAGAGCGGGAGTGGGGGCTCGTTTTGGCACGAACTTTTACTTCATTACAGATATAGGCGAATGTTAATTCCTTTGCACAAAAAGTAGCGCCATGATGTTAGATGTTAACCGGACTGTGATGTTTGAAAATGTGGATCCCATTGTTGTCATTGCTTAAAAAAAACTTTTAATTTGGTTTTAACAAAGTAACCACTGTATCATGGTAAATATCATATCGCCAGATTCTTGCCGAAACACCTTCTCTTATGTCATTTTCTTTTACTTTTATTGCATGAAAAAGTCAATGCTGTGGAGAGTTGTTCTTGTTTTTATAAATTTATTTTCCAGTTGCCTTTTCTGTATTCATGACGTACCCCGAGGGCCGGATCAAACTCTTACGAGCTGCATACGGCCTGGACCGAATCAGTCGACTCCATAACTAGGTCACCCCTTTTTACTGTAGAACTAGTTAGGCTAGTTGGTGTACTAACCAATGAACATGTGCTCTTGTGACTAGATGCTGGGGACCTTTCCCTGGAGCCCATAGCGAGATCCACTGGCAGTGTATGGCGTGCAGTGAAGCAGTGTATGGCGTGCAGTGAAGCAGTGTATGGTGTGCAGTGAAGCAGTGTATGGCGTGCAGTGAAGCGGTGTATGGAGTGCAGTGTAGCTTGCTGCTTATAGTTATGTAGCAGAAATCCCATAATATCGTCTTATCCCCGACCTGACGGCCCTTGTCTCCTGCTCTCCCTGGGGGGCGCCAGGCTGGACCTGGTGGAGAGCTTCGTGGAGGATGCTGAGCTGCGGCAGAGCTGCCAGGACGACCTGCTGCGCCGCTTCCCGGACCTCAATCGCCTGGCCAGGAAGTTCCAGCGGCAGAGCTGCACGCTGCAGGACTGCTACCGGGTCTACCAAGCCGTGGGCCAGCTGCCGGGCCTGCTGCAGGCGCTGGAGCGACACTGCGGTGAGCGCCCCCTGGGGGCCTGGCTGACCTGGCGGGACCAGGTGAAAGCGGGTCTGTTTCGGAAAGCGTCCCCCCCACTGCTGTGTTACCTCCCCCCTCCCCCCCCATAGGGAGTCACCAGGTCCTGCTGCATGCCGTGTTCATCTCGCCCCTCGAGGACCTTAACACGGACTTCTACAAGTACCAGGAGATGATCGAGACGACGCTGGATATGAACCAGGTGTGGGAATCAGCCGCCGTCTCTCGCGGCCCCTGCTGCTGTCGTCTTTCCCTCCCTCTCTCCCCCCTCTCGTTTTCCTCGGCCTCTGGGGAATTCGTGTGGTTTTAGCACTTTGGTATGTGACCCAGTAACTCAAGACCTGTTTGATGGATCTTTTTCATCCTTTGCACAGGTCTTGTGTGGGTGAGGAACTAAAACTGATTAAATATTTAAAATTCTCAACCCTAAATTTAAGCAGCACCTAATGATGGCAGAAAGGAGCAGGACTAGCAGAGAGAAATTTCTCCATGGCTCCTCCATGTATGTCAGCATTAACCGAGCACCTTTCCCACCGCAGACTGTCCTTTTGTTACCAGTCACAGCAGTTCAGCGTGATCCAGACGCCCCGCTGCCCGTCTGACTTACACGTTATTTTAATGCGTTATCGTCCGGTGTATACAGGCGTATAATGTGTTCACATTATTTTAATGTGTTAGCGTCTGGTGTATACAGGCGTATGATGTGTTCACATTATTTTAATGTGTTAGCTTTCCGCATTCAGGTAAAACACATTCATTAACTTTTATAGTTCCAGGTGGCACATCCAGTCTTTCTGGAATGTTTCCGTGTTGAGTGAGTGACTGTGGGATGAGTAGAGTTCAGGTTCCTTTCCTGCTGAGCACGTTCCCTCTGCCCAGACTGTCTGACGGGTTGGTCCATTATGTGTTTTTGTGACTTTTTCTCCTTCTTGCTCCTCCGCCTGATTAACTCATCTCCATCTGCCCCCCCCCCTTTAGATCGAGAACCACGAGTTCCTGGTTAAGCCGTCCTTTGACCCGACGCTGAGCGAGTTGCGGGAGGCCATGGACCAGCTAGAGAAGGACATGCAGGCGGCGCTGAATGCGGCGGCCCGGGAGCTCGGTGAGCGGAACATGCCGGATCCTCCCCGCGGAGGCACTGGCTAAATTAGGCACCGGCCCTTTAAGCGTAGCAGCTGGAATGGGTTAACACTGCAGGGGCTCCAGTGGACTCCTCAGTCTTTTCTGCATAACTGCGCTCCGCTGTCGCGTTAGAGGCCCCTAACTGTGCCCCCCCCGTCAGGTCTGGACGCTGGGAAGAGCGTGAAGCTGGAGTCCAACGCCCAGATGGGTTACTACTTTCGGGTCACCTGCAAGGAGGAGAAGAGCTTGCGCAACAACAAGAAGTTCACCACGCTGGACGTGCAGAAGAACGGCGTCCGCTTTACCAACAGGTGAGCCTGAGTCTGCCTGAAAACGGCACCCTGCGGCGGCCTGGCCTGCAGACTCGTAAGGAAAAGGGGTTCCACATGTCGGGATGGATCTCTGTTCCACAGTAAGCTGAGCTCCCTGAACGAGGAGTACACCAAGAACCGGGAGGAGTACGAGGGGGCGCAGAACGCCATCGTGAAGGAGATCATCAGCATTGCCTCGGGTGAGGGGCTCACTCTGCATGCGAGGTTAACCTCCCGCCACTAGAGGGAGCTCTCTTAATATGCTGCTCATAGTCTGGCAACATACAGTTCTCACAAGACAGTATTCCAAGCTATTGATTGTTAATTGCCCTGGAACATTATACTGGGGGGTGAATCCCCCCCCCCCCCCCAGGTTCTGTGTGATTAAAGCGCTGAGTGCTTCCAGTGCCACGTCCATGTACGCAGTATGCAGTGTCGATCTCCGTCTGTTCCGTGCACCATCCAGGCTACGTGGAGCCGCTACAGACCCTGAACGAGGTGGTGGCCCAGCTGGACGCCGTGGTGAGCTTTGCCGTGGCGTCACACTCGGCCCCCGTGCCCTACGTGCGGCCCAGGGTGCTGGAGAAGGGCTCGGGCAGGCTGTTCCTGCGGGCGGCCAGGCACCCCTGTATCGAGGCCCAGGACGACGTCTCCTTCATCCCCAATGACGTGTCCTTCAGCCGCGGAGAGGAGATGTTCCACATCATCACCGGTAAGGTTTCCGGCTCTTCGTGTGCAGGGTTCACCGGCGACCGGCTGCAGCGCTGACCTCCACACCCCCCCCCTCCCAACAGGCCCCAACATGGGGGGCAAGTCCACCTACATCCGGCAGGTGGGGGTGATCGCGCTGATGGCGCAGGCAGGCTGCTTCGTGCCGTGTGCCGAGGCCGAGATCAGCGTGCTGGACCGCATCCTGGCTCGCGTGGGCGCCGCTGACAGCCAGCTGAAGGGCGTCTCCACCTTCATGGCCGAGATGCTGGAGACGGCGGCCATCCTGCGGTGCGTGGGGCTCGGGGCGCGGGGCACGGGGCGCGGGGCAGGGGACGCGGGGCGCGGGGCAGGGG